CAAAGCAGCAAAAGAAAGAGTTATAGGTGGATGGATCCGTTCACTTCCGACCATCAAATTCAAACCATTCAGTCATAGAATCTGATGATTGGAATATACTGGAAGGAACAGAAATTGAACGGAATCTTCTCACCGGATCCGGTCAGACGTCAGACAGCCGGAAATAGTCGGAATGAAGCGGATCCTTCGGTATCCGACCGGACGTTTTTCACCTGCGTACTACATAAAGCAGTAAAAGGACACAGGAAAGAACAGTCATCAACAAAAAAAAGAGATAGAGCGGGAAAAGATATTACTGGCGGTAAATCATTGAAAAATATTAGAAAAAGTAAAGGACTAAGTATACAACTTTGTGGAACTCCTAACGGTACATCAATCAAGTCTGAATAGGTAGATCCTACCCGTATCCGTTGGCTTCCATCCGTGAGACCGCCCACGAACCACTTATAGACATCCCATAGTTGAAACCGGGCCGACCCGGTCCGGTGTAAAAGTTCAGATGTGACAACTTGGTGAACGGATTCCGTTCAATTTCTGTTCCTTCCGTTGTATCCCAATGCCTGGAACTAAGGTAGATTCGATCACCAGATCCTATGACCGAACCGTTCAAATTTTATGATCGGAAGTGAACGGATCCATCCACCTATAACTCTTTCTTTTGCTGCTTTGTACGGTGAATAAATTCACCGATTTGTTTCTCGGTGTTTTTAGTATAAACACGACACTATAAAACATGAAAAATTTTTTTCTCCAAGTTTTCACACTGAACAGTGTGAATCATCGAAACCCACTGCTGCTCGAAGACGTGTGAGAAGTCAAGATCTTGGCCAAGACCTTGAGTGAAGCCACTTAAGATGTTGCAAGAGCTGGAGTGACAAATTTTCTTTACATTTTGTTTTTATTTTATGACAGTCGTAGCCATTGGATATACGACCATATAGAGTCATAGATTCTTCGTTAAACAATGATGGTCAAGAAGGAAAAAAATTCGATGTTATTCTAAGTGTGAACATGTTCGCACTTATATTTACACAAGAGTGTGTAACAAAACGATGATTCAAGAATTTCCAAAACCTTGGTACAAGAAGTCAAGAAATTACATGTTCAAGATCTTGACTTCTTGAAATTTCTTGAATTTTTATATTTTCTTACCAAGATCTTGAATCAAGATCTTACTGAAAAAATTCAAGAAGTCAAGATCTTGGTTACAAGAAGTTTCACTAGGGCTATCATCTTACGTATACGAACGATAGAATGTAACCAATCGAAGAAGCGCCGAGTTCCGTAAAAATTATACCTCTTACTAAACTTGTATCTTCTAAAGAATAGTCAAATTATAAGGAATTAAATTTCTACTAGAGAATGCAGTTCCACTAAACTAAATATCAGTAGAAAACAGTCAAAAAAGTGTTGTTGTAGTTCATTGAATCCAAAAGCATCTGACTGTCAAAATCTCGTTAATATACATATTATTTAAGGAGATCTTACACCTGTTCTATATGACAAAACTGGTTTGTCAGCATTTGATCCAAATAAAATAAGCGAAAATGTTTTGTTTTTGTGATTTCACGCACTCTGACTGGAATAGTTTGAGAGAAAGTTTTCTTTTTCTCTCCAATCTTTGTTGTCTGTTGATACTGTTAATGTTGATTGTTTTTTTCCAACGGCTAGCTCTGCAGAAAACTAAAAACATCTATCAAACTTCCACTATAAATCCACCTACAAAAGAACAGACTTTTTGCGGCAATAACTAGTTTAAGAGATCAGAGAAAGTAGCAGTTCGAATTCCTAAAGAGTGTTTTTTAGAGCTTTTAGATTTCATTCACCATTTGTTTACTCTTTCTATTCAGCAAGGTATTCATCCTTCCAAGTGGACGCTTGCTGATGTAGTGCCCATACACAAAAAGGATTAAAAAAATGTTGCCGTTTTTAGAATTTTTAGCATTTTTCTTATCTTCATTCAAAATAAACTTGATAAAACAACTAAGAGAAATAAGAAAAAGCGAGTGAAGACTACTTTTTCCTTAAAGAGCTTTAGTTTTACTGATAAGAGTTTTCAACCGGCCGGTTTTTTTCCAGCTTTTCACCATGTCGGTTTTCCACCGGTCTTGAAAATTTCTGACAACCGGCCAACTTTTTGCCGGTTTTTCATCAGTCTAAAAAGATTTTCGAGCAGGTCGATCTGCTGTTATGCCAGCCGACCTCTTAGTTTTAGACCGGTTGCAACTCTGAGGCGTCTCCTTTGACTCCCAGTGAAGCAAGTTTCGTCAGATGTATTTAAAAGAGGATCCTTTCGAAAGCTTTCTCAAAATCAGTAATAGATTTTACATTATACTTTTTCCATGAAGTCTTTCTTCAACTAAAGCAATACTACATGTACAGTGGGCAACAAAATTGATCATACATCCGGCATATTAACTTATGATTGATATTTCCGCGAAACGTAATCACCTGTAAAGTTTGGAGTTTAAATAAAGAATCGGAGAAAAAGGAAACGAAATACAAAACACACATTTTTTTTCTAGTTTTGTAATGCTAATTCTTTTTCGATAGTTGTAGTAATACTTCGGGTAAAAAATTCATATTATCACGAGGACTATTTTGTATTTCGTTTCCTTTTTCTCCGATCTTTCGTTTAACATTCTGCAGTACTTATGAGTCGAAAGAGCGAGAAAAACTGCACAAAAAAAAATATGCCCGTTTTGTCAATCATAAGTTAATATGCGGGGTGTATGATCAATTTTGTTGCCCACTGTACATCTAAATTTATGTTCTCTTAGCTTGTACTATCGACAGTCGCTCTCACGTCGAACATAGATACTGACAGTAAATCGATAGTGATGATGAAGATACTGTGTTGTTGATGCGCATGCATACGTCAGAATATCCAGAGAAGAAATGGGGGTGTAAATATAAACTCTTCAGACTTACCTGTAGATGGATAATAGAGAGAAGAAATAGCTAGTAATGTCCGGGTGATTTGAGACACAACATCACGACTATTTAAGCATGACAAGAGAGACAATGCGGGTGGTGAATCACAAGCAACCACTGCTTACTGACGCTACTTTCTAGTAAATTAAGCCTGACATCAACAATGTATCTGACTGATCACATCTATTGACAACATCAGGATACGAATTTTGCGCTGTCGAAAAATAAAGACGTCGACCTAATACTTATCCCGAAATGAAATAATACTTATCACGCAGAAATGTTGTCGCTTTCTTTCGAAAATTCTGGGTATTTATAAAAGGCTTCGAATATCCATAGAAGCAATGGAAACTCACACAAACACCCGCGAACGTTTACGAATACCTATACCTAGGGATGATCAGTCTGGCCGGAAGACCTTTAGCTTTTTTTCCATAAAATCTTAATAGTACATTCGGAAGACATGATTTTTTTATCATTTATAGTACTTATCTAGAGTGAACGGCTTTCTCTGGGGAACAGTTCGACTGAAGCTATGCGCACCTAAAGGAAGAACAAAAATACGGGTGATAGTTGTGTTTTTAGACGTTCTGCTGTTTTGGGGCCTGCATTGTTCAAAGACAGTCGATGCCAACATCTCACAAACGGCCGATCAGATTGAAGTCAGGATTTGGTCAAGATAGGATTGTTCTCGCAATGAATGACAGAGGTGATACCACATTTATCATACTCAAACGTCATGTTTACAAAAACAATCGTAATTTCTTGACAAGAAACTACCCGCTTTGTCTGCTATTTCAACAAACGAAACGTTTAGTTCTCATACTCGTTCTATTTTCTTTTCTGCTGAAATATGGACCAGCTAAGACTATAACAGTTCACGCTTTTATAGATGATAAGCCTCTATAGGCCACCAGTTGATATAAAATTTTGAAGTATTAAAAATTTGAAGTATTTTAAAAGTAAATGTTTATATGTGATCCCTAATTGTGCTCGAGAATTTCTTTGCAAATAACTCCATTATATCGAGCAAACATTTCTGAACAAAATAAGATCTCGCCCAGATTTCTACGACATGTTTTCATGAAACAGCGCAATTTATGAAAAGCTAAAGCTTTCATGCTTTCGCATTAATATTTCTGATTTTGGTGGTATGGGACCTTTCATAAATCGAGCGCTGTTTCATGAAAACATGTCGTAGCAAACCCCGGCGAAACCTTATTTTGTTCAGAAATGTTTGCTCTATACGACGGAGTTATTTACAAAGAAATTCTCGAGCACAATCGTGGATCACGCATAAAGCGTAATCAAGGACTTAGTTTTTGGATATTTTGGCTTTCCAGAGATCCTGTTTCGGAAATTTCGATGAAACCTTTATATATTGGAAACTCCTTCGCTATTCAAATCGTTTTTCAGATTTGTTCTTGCTTTTCTTCAAATATACTATGCCACAACATTTTGTCATTTTTGTATAGTTTTGGAGTTTATTTAATTCTCTATCGAATAGTACACAACGTTGAATCCCTTAACTATATTTTTCGACATTGTTTTCTAAATGATACAATGGCTATGCCATTTACTCATATATTTTTTGCACAATATTGAAAAACGAATAAAGCAAAGCAATAATGTATTGGCGACTCAAGATTGTGAAAGATAATTAAAATCAAACAAACAAAATACACGCACACACACCGCTATTTACAAAAGATGAAAAAACAAGCAAACAAAAAAAAACCTTATTCTAAAATTAGTTTAGAAAAACACGAGAGCGAGAGAGAAAAACAGATGTCAATACGTGAAAAATCCCTGATAGACAGTAAATACAACAGAAAATAATCTGACATGGTACAACATTCAATGATTGCATTGGAACGCTAGTAATATCCCAGAGGGACAAAAACAATATAAAATATATGACCGGCTTTGACTTTAAAAGGGGTATAAAAAACAGAAATGCAATTAGATTGCGATTAGTATAAATTAATTTAAGCAATACACAGACTATGGATATTTTATACTATAGTTTATCAAGTATCTGTTTAATATCTTGTAATATTCGTGTTAATTTTGTCAATGTGACGTCTTCATCGGATGAAGAAACAATTGTTGTCGCTGATGCTATAGTTGAATCATCATTTGTTGTGCTAGACAGTAGTTGTGCGGCTGTATCACGTATTTGTTGAACATGTTCACGTAAACGAAATGCAATTTGTGGTGATACTTTTATTTGACAAACACGTTCACCGAAATGATTCAAATCATTGACAAATGTAATTGTAGATGTTGTAATTGAATTTTTATTTCCAATATTTTCTTTCGTTACTACTGCTGTATCATCGTCGATTGTCATACTCGACGATACTTTTGTTCGACGAATTTTATGTATTTGTCTCAAATTTTTCATTAATAGTTGAATACATTCTAGCAATGAACGCATCATATCTGTTTGATTAGTCTCATTATCTGTACATGTGTTTACGACTGTTGTGGATGATTGTTTAGCAGAATCTTGACATCGACTAGAAGCATATTCAGAAAACAAACGAATAGCGTTACCAACATTAGACGATGTTGTTTCAATAGCATTATTTTCAAATGGAAGAGTGCCCGGAGGACATGATGTTGTCAACGTATCGGTTTTATTATCACCACTAGAAGAAGAAGTTGATGAAGAAGGTGATGAAACAACTTTTGCTGTTGGTAAACCAGTTGTACGACGTAGATTTATGCGACAAAATTCTGGCGTGGATGCTTCTGGCGGCGGAGGAAGGTTGTGTTTGGGAGATTTAGAGTCACTATTAAGCTTATTTGACGAGGATATTATATCGAGCGATGTATTGGATTTCACCCTAAAAGGTCGAAAAATAATCATGGAATTAAATCATATGTCAAATTCTTCCAGCACGAGTATCAAAGAGGAAAACAGCTAAAAGAACACAAATTTGCCCATGGCCGTAACATAGTAATCAATCTACTACAACATACCTATTTGCTTTTTTATTCAATTTATCCTGTTTTACAGTTTCATCTTTCGTTTTTCTTGTCATTGATGTTTCATCACTTTCTGATGGTAGGACATCGTTATTTGATGTTATTAATCGTGATGAATTATCACAAATTGGTTGTTGTTGATCAACTTCTTTTGGAAATGAATTATTTGCTGTTGTAGACGCCGTTGATGAAAATGTTGTTGATGTTGAGTTTTGTATTGTCGATAGTGGTTTTTTACTACTAAATGTTGATAGGCGAGCTTCAGGATTTATATTTCTTGGACGATCCACTCTTAATTTATCCTTATTTTGCGGTGTTGTAATTATATTTGGTTGATTCGTTGTTTCCTGTTGTTGTTGTGACGCTGTTGGTGGTATTGGTAATTTTGTATTGTTAAATTCAGACGGATGTTCTAAGATAATTTGATCAACAGGATGGCTTATAATGGATGAAGTGAATGTTGATGACGGCTGAGCAACTAAAGGTGATGGAAGAAAACGTGCTAAAAGTGACCGATGGGCGGAGGCTGGCGGAGGAGGTGGTGTCACGTTCATTGCATCTTTAAATGAACATGTTCTAGCCGGTCTGAAACGATTTAAATGTAGTGTGTAAGGCGAGATTCGTTAGTTGGGACAGAGTACTCACGGTCTTGGAGGAGGTATGGTAGGACGAAGTCTCTGTGCTGATGGACCATAATCAACTGCTCGGGATGTACCTAGAAGAAAAACAAGAATTAGAATTTATTAGAATTACAGAAGAACAAGAGCTACTGAATACCATTTTCTTGATTATGAAAACCAACAGATGTCATACAATCAAGTTCAGCATGTATCTCTTTAAAAGTCGGCCGTTCATCAGGATTCCATCGCCAACCTATAATAATTATTTTATTATTTTCATAATAGAAATAAAAAGCTGCTTAAAGAATCAAAAGTTGCAGAGCTAAAGAAGAAGACTTTCTTTAATAGCTTATCCACGTCTTGGGGTCTCAGGGAGAAGTAATCGTCTCTCGTCGCTGGTTTTAGCTATAGTAATCGTGCGCTGGGTTAGCTATAGTAATCGTGCGCCTGGAGTAAAAATTTTTAATCAAGCATAAGATAACGATAATTTATAACCATCTGAAGAAATTTTGTGCATTTTTCGAATAAATTCGAGGAAAACTATATAAGTGGCTCTTTGTTCTTAGCAGCATTAATCAAAGTGAATATAAAAATTTTTTGATTTGAAAATTAAAACAGATTCACTTACATTTCTGCATTAAATTATAAACATCGACTGGACAACCTTCTGGACAGGGCATCCGACAGCCGGTCTAAAAGTAAACAAACAGAAGACGTTTCAATTAGAAAGCAACTAAAGATATAAATTGTCAAAAATTCTTTTTTCTATAGAACAACTTAACATCCAGCTTTAGGCAACAACAAAACTACTTAAATTAAAAAGTAAAATTACCTCTAATAAATGATAAACATCAGATAATTCGACTCCTGGATACGGCGAAGAGCCATATGTAGCAATTTCATAAAGCAGAATACCGAAACTAAATATAAATAAATAAAATGTCCTCCTTGTAATGTTTACTCTTAGCTTTACGGTAAATGAAAATGCATACCTCCACACATCCGACTTTGTAGAAAATTGATTAAACGCTAATCCTTCCGGTGCAGTCCACTTTATTGGAAATTTTGCACCTAATTTGGCCGTATAATGATTTTCACATTGAATGAGTCTAGCGAGACCAAAATCGCCTACTTTCACCAAATGTTTCTCGCCTACTAAACAATTTCTTGCTGCTAAATCTCTATGAATAAAATTCTTTTGCTCTAAATATGTCATTCCTGATCCTATTTGCCCGGCCATATACATTAAAACGGTTGATGTTAATTCGGAGCGAGAACGTTTCTTCAAATAATCCAATAAACATCCGTACGGCATAAATTCTGTGATAATATAGTAAGGTGGCTCTAATGTAACAACGCCTAATAACTGAACTAAATTAGGATGTTTCATCTCTTTCATAACGCATGCTTCATCAATAAAATCTGTAACATTCATTGTTTCTTTTAATGTTTTAACCGCAACAATTTTATTGTACCTAAACGAATGAAACAAAAGATGTAAACAGATCTGATGGTAGAAAGTAGGATCAAAATAAAAACAAGAAACAAATAATACGACTAATTCAGGAGTAATCAGAAGTTTATACAAGATATAAGCCCTTCATAACAATCTTACCTTTTCCAAAGTGCCTTGTATACATCGCCGTATTGTCCTCCTCCTTCTTTACATTGCATAATAATTTCTGATCTTGCTATCTCCCATTTATCATCTATTTTAAACAATGGTGGTTGATTTTTTTGTTTACTTATTGGATATAGCAGTAAATGTACAAGTCCATCGGTTTTGGTTGAATGATGATAAATTAATTGTTGTAAATTTTGAAAACGAAATTCCGTGCTAACATAATATTGACCATTTTCATCCTTATTTATGCGATAATGATATATACGCTCTTCATAACGTACACTAATAGACAGTTGTCCAGGTACTGTCTCACTGTCACGCACTAAGAAACCTTAACAAAAGCAAAAAAAGATTAATTACAATACGTTTACGTGAGAGACATTAACTTACTTCCATTAATTCCTTGAGTAAGTAAATATTCAGCTTCACATCTAGACACTTTACCATGAAACCAAGAATGTCTATCTAATGAATCTAGCGGCCGAATAAATGATTTTGGTACCCAGCCTGTTTCACCACGAAAATTTTTCACTTCACACCATTCACTACTATTGTTACAGCCAATAATAATGAGATGATCTCCCACCGCTAAAGTCAACTGTTTGTCGTCCGAGCCCTGAAATGCGTGTAGAGCAACATACACATTTTGTAAACAACATGAATTTGGATCATTTGATATGATTGCTGACGATGAAGAAAGAACGTAATCGTTGGGTAAACTATGATTGTGATGTAAATGACAACTACTTATAAATGAGGAAGACGTTGTGGGTGTTGTGTCACATTGAGATAGTAATTCACGTGATAGCCAACGTTTATCAGCTGTTAGTAAAAACTCTTGATTGTTGTTATTATTGTTATTTGATGAATGAACTAAAGTACCACATGGCGTTACACGAAATGAACCTTAATTAAACAAACAAAATTTTGATATAAAAATAGGGCATGATGTCATCTTAATGAATAGATGATGAGATGGAAAACAAGTGTTTTAGATAAATGTTTTTCTTCACAATACCTTGACTATGAACTGATATATCATCCAATATAGTGTTTGTGTGTGTTGTCGAAGACGACGACGATAATAACGGTGATTCTGAATGAGATGATAGATTTAAAAATGGTTTTGAAATTGAACGTCGACTTTTTAAATTAGGTGATGAACGATTTTCTCTTCCATTTTGATTTCCCATTTAAAGATTGTATCTTTTCATATAAAAAAAACTCGATAATATTTTGTTACATTCTATATAATAGGTAAGAATGGTATTTTAAAATTTTTATTTATTACAAGATCATCGTACCCTCACGGGAAAAACGACAATTATTGTAATAGTTTAAAACCTGAACATCTCAGTTAGTAAATAGAAGATGAATGACTCACTTCCTTTTAATCGAAAAATTCGATTGGATAATGAAACGAACAAATAGATATTAATGACTTAAAATTCATCGTTAAGAGGCGAGAACAAACGGTTGATGGATGAAGCTAGCAACGCTAGAGAAGTTTTTTATCATTGTTCTAACACGTGTAGTTTGGGCTATTTTCAAATAGATACAACGAATTGATTTTTTTACAAAGTACTAAAAGAAAGGATAGATAATTGTCAAGATTACTATCTGAGCATCCTCTGTTTGATTGCAACTCGCTTAAGCTAAGACTCTCTTGTCATGTCTTTCATGAGTTACTTCTTACATTGTCATCCGAGTATTTTTGGTTTTTCCTCTCTCTAATCCATAGATTTATACCATAAACCGCTTTTTAACATTAGATAGGTCATAACCAATCGAATTACAACATTGAAAATCGATTTCATTAAGGTTTGATTGACAATGTTACTTACACTTAAATATTTTCAATGTCTACTATTATATCTTTATAGGATTTCAAAAATACAAAAATTATTATTGATTACACTTTATTTTCAATCAATAAAAACACAAATAGTAACGATCTTAATAGAAATAAGAACGATTTAAGACAAGTATATGTTCTAATTATGTCCAGAACTATGTCGATACTCCGTAAGTTATTCGGTATTTAATCTTAGTTTTCTTCACTCACAAGTGCTTTTAAATAAATGAGTCCCTCAGCCCCCTTGGACTACACTATTTTCATCCTTTCAGGTTTATAATTAATCCTTATATTTTAAACGATGTACAGCTGAATTCTCTACAAAAAATGCTAAACGGTTTGTTATATCTTTTTTTGATTTTGCCCAAATCATTATTTTTAAACGACATTTTGTGCCGTTTGGTAAAATATGTATAAGTTGGTCCAACTTCAGTGTTTTTACGGCGAGTTTCTTTTATCTTGAGAATTCACATCTATTCCAGATTCAGACAGAAAAAGGTCAATAGTTTCATTTACTTTCAATCATTGCTGAAATCTCTTTTTCTTGTGGTGAATCTCAGGAAAGTCTTCTTTTGCGCTGGAAAAATACGACTCTGCTGTACATGATGAGAGAAAGAGAGAGAGAACACATGTAGAAGAGAAACAATACTTTGATCTCACCTAAGTACGTGGTTGGTAGCAAGCTAGTAGATACAACTTTTCGATATTGATTGAGTAAAATTCAAAATAACAGCTTTTCAGAATAGGAATGGCAAAGTTCGACGCTTCACAATGTATCGTCTATAACTTTTTGTTTTTAGGAGATACCTGAGTGTTTAGCATTTCTTTATAGCGATTGGAGTTGCTCATCTTTTAAAATATAAGAATTAATTCTAGATTTGAAAGGATGAAATGCTGTGGTTCAAATACTAAGAATCTTATACTTTAGCGGAGTAGCGCTGACTTTCTGTCTGTGATTCTTCATCGATAATATCCAAACAAGTGAGATAGAACAAATGTGCTTGTTTTGTGTACAATATTTTCTTTTAGAAGTTCAAACTTCTCGGATGATAATTTTAAATTTAAACGAAAACAAACTGTACTTTCATTTTTTTTAAAGCTATGTTTATGCACCCGGGGATTTGAACCTCTACACATGATCGTTGCAAATTTGTGTAGGATCTTGTAACTTTCTTACAAGATTCTTGTGCATTATAAAAAACAATGCGCCCTCGCAGACAGCATTTTTTTGCGATGAATCGGACACAAATTTTGCGCACATTATACGATATATCCAATATGTCAACATAATAAATATGCCTTCTGCAGGCGCACTATTCGATGTATCCTGCTATAAGTCACTTGTTAGTACGACACATTTTAAGACATATCCTGCATTCGGTGCAGGACATTCGAAAAAGCGCTCACGTGCGCGGCACATTCCTGTCACAGCATTCCACATGTATCCTCTAATACGACACAATCTGAACGCGCCACATTCTAGGGCATATTTCTTTTTACAGTGTATATTTCTCTGAACATATGGTTATAGAAGTTTTCTGGAGATGTCCCGAGACCTTGTGAGATCTTTAAGAAACCAACAGATCTTACAGGACGTGTTGTATTTGGCGACGTATTCACTACAGGGACGCCCTCTATACTGCACAAACATCTAAAACGCACGTACAATCAAAGAACATTCATAAAACTTTTATTTTTTCTTTCGTTTTCGTCCATTTATGAATAATCTCCGCTGTTCACTATTAGTAAAAATAAATGTTCCGAAAACAACTGTTCAAATAATTAACTAATTAAGTGATTTGACGTTGAATCTCAATTTAATTATCAGTCTAGTAATGTCTCATACGAAAATATTGCCTCAGCGTAGACATTTGAACATGCTACAAAAAACAACTGATACCACACGTTTATATCAATGTGAAGAAAAAAATAAAGTTCATTTGGAGTCACGGAAAAGTGCTTTCTCGTATTTAGCACACTCGATAACACCGAAGATTCTCTGTTTTTGGCGAGAGATACTGTCAAAAGTTTAGAAAAATTTTTCAAGCAAAATAGTAAAAAAATCTCCATGTGAAAATCATAGTAGTTTCAAAATTTTTGTTAAACTTTTTGGCAGTACTCTCTAAAAATAGAAAATCTTCTGAGTTATTTAGTCGTGTTGATAATATGATAAGAAAATCATATTTAACTTTAATTTTGTTTTCCTCGTAGAATTTTATTTTATTTTATAAAATTATTTACAACTGCTAAACGTGTGATATGCTTATCCTATTATCAACAGAATTAACACTATAATGCCCAGAAATTTTCATGACCTAGAACGCCCAAAGCGGTCATTTTGACCGTTACTGTTGTTTTTTTTAAATTTTATAATTAAAAATGATTCTGAATTAAAAAATGAATTAAAAATTCTACAAAACATAATTTTTGTGGGACAAATTAAAAGTTATGACATAATTTATTTTTAAATAAATTGTATGCAGTTTGTTTTATTAGGGATAAAAATCAAAAAACGGTCAAAATGACCGCTACAGGCGTTCTAGTGTTAACACTACCTCGTATCAAACTTACATCACATATTCTCGTATTGTGGTCACAGAATCAGGATTATTGAGTGTGTTGAATGCGAAAAAGCACTTTTCCGCGACTCTAAGTGAACTTTATTTTTCTGTCGGTGATACGCATATTTTCACATAGCCAAGTTAGGTTTAGTTTTATGGTTTTTTACGAGTTTTTATTACGGCCAATAAATAAGCCTAAAATCAATCTATATATGGTATGGAATGATATGGTACGGAATGGTCCATTCCGCTTTACCCCTGTTGGCTCTATCGTGCTGAAGACAAAATTTCAACGTTCCAACTCATTCCAACGTGTTCGAGAAACAAGAATAAAACTCATACATTAGGACCCGTGATTTTTTAAAAATTTCATTTTACACGCGTTTCAGCTCGTTAGAATACAAAGTCGTTCGAACGTGTCACAAATATTTGAATGCAGAACTCGTTCAAACGTGCATTCTATCAATTTTTGGTTAAAATAATGAGTCACCGTCTAAATTGTGTTTTTTTCTCCCGGGCTATGTTGGTGCCGCCTCCAACCTTATAAAAGATTTATCAGACTTTGAGTATTTCACACCATACTAAAACCCAATATGTAGTTCCACGTAGGATCATGAAATTCCTCATAGAGTGCTTGATTATTGCAAACAGATAATCAAAACTTTATTGTAAATGAAGTACAATTTCAAAAATTTGGAGTATGTGCACATCTTTGGCATGCATGAAGTGGATCTATCAAAAGAAAACTAATCGAAAAGAAAATGAAATTGGAGAAATAGGAGAATAAATGTCTGACAGGTAGAACGGATTAAGTCTAAAGGGGCTCGAACGGGATTACAGAACGATTTACAACACGGTGAAATTGGTAAAATCAACTCGTTCCAACAAGTTCCTTACTCTAACGTGCTGGAACGTGTACGACACATAGCATATTCCCACGCGTTTATCAAGGTTGATCAAGTTTGATAGAATTTTAACTGGAACGTCCCAGGTCGACGAAAACTGACATTTAATTGTCCATGAACAGCCTGTTAACTGTATGCCAAAAAATTGCCTGTTAATTGTGTAAAAATCGAATGAAAATTAGCGTTTAACACCCATAATAATGACAATTTTTTGACTTTGAAATAACGGTGAAAATAATGCCAGATTATAGGCAATGTCTGAAAAACTGTCATTTTACGGACACCATTAAATGGCATTTTCGT